TTGCATCTGATGGATGAGTCATCTCTCTGTTCGTCTGAGTATGCTTGGCGTGCCATCTCATCCCTCCAGCAGTCTCCTCAGATTGGTACAATCTTTTCAATCTGTCTGTGATTGGTAGGTACCACATCCTTTGGTACGGTACCCTATTACGCCCTCGACCTTGCGGTTTGAATTGTGGGTTCTTACAAAATCGACATTCTTCTAACTTCTCATCATCTCCTCAGTAAATCATGCAGTTGTCGATGTAAACGTCTATCATCTCCGAGGGCAACCCAAGACTATATACCAATTTCTGAATCTCATAATAAGATTCAGCAGACACAGTGTCTTCTGGCAAGTACTCTTTAAACAAGTCTGCCCATGCATCCATACAATTTTCAGATAGATTGTGATCGATTTTAACACTCATCATTCTAGCAGCCAACGACAATTTAGACATGCAATCTCTACAACCACTGTAAATTGGCTCATTCGCAGCTTCTAACATTTCATAAAACTTTTTTGCATCTAAGTTAGGTTCTTCAACTTCATCATCATCATGAGTTACAAATGCATCACCTACCATATCATGAACCCTATCACAATCTACCATTTGTTCCTCCTGGTGATGATAGCTATTTTCATTACGCAAATGATCAACCGGTTCAACCTGAAAATTGCTATTATTACTGCTAGCTTCATTCCTACAACTAGCATCTTCTCCATGTTAATACCAAATATAATAATATGGCATGAAACCTCTATTTATTAAATGCTTCCAAACATTTTCACAAGGGCCTAATTTTGTATTGCAGCATTTCCGACAAGGATAGAACATCTTACCACTTTCCTGCGTGAGTGGTGTAGAATCTGCTTGATGCATAAACGTCTCCAACCCTTTGAGAAATTCTTTCGTCACTCTCCCTTTATTATCTATGTGTGAATACATCCACTTCCGCAACTCGAAAATATTTCCAGGACCGGACATTTTTTTTCTTTGATCAATCTTAAAGCTGTTTTTTTGTGTGTTTGAAATGAATTACAAATGGTGGTATTTATAGAAAATTTTGAATCTGATCATTTACAAGGAAATTGCTAGGAAAGGTAGGTACAACACACATTTTAGATTTAAAATAGATATTTTCCTCGCTAATTTGAAGTAAACGAAGATTTCCTCCTAATTTCGTAGTAATGTTTTACTAGGACTTAACGAGGAAACGTTGTACTACGAAATTACGAGGAAACGGTTTTCTCATAGGTTTACGAGGAATTTACGAGGATTATTGTTTTCCTCGTAAAACCGAAGTAATCTCGTAGTACATTTACGAGGAAATATTTTCTTAGTAAAATTTCCTAGTAAACTCTTAGTTTTCTTGTAGTGAAAATTTATGTACTCTCTATTCTTTTTGTTAAATTTATATTATGAAAATAAATTAAAAATTCACAGTAATTATATAATACAAAAAATTAGTTTTTTCGTATATGTTATATTTTGAATTTTTTTAAATGACTATAAATTAATAAAGGACAATTTTCTCAAATAGACATGTTTAAGTTTTTATCACAAAAACATACCTCAAAATTAAGTTTTTATTTTGAAATTTTTAAGTTTTTATTTTATTTTTACAATTTGAAATCCTATCCCCAAAATCTCACTCCTCAACTCTAAACAAAAAGGTCTAAGATTAGTTAACCGAAAGTTTATAAGTGTATATTTACTTATTATTGATAAAAACATTTAAATATATTTTGGTCAGTTTTATTTTTAATGTTTATATTTGTGACAAAAACTGTTTTAGGTCTATCATAAACAATTTCTCATTAATAAAACCTTTAAAATTCAACATACGTATTTTGTGATTAATAATTTATTTTTCTTATAACAAGATACAAACATATATACAATCAAGTAGGAAGTATCATTTAAAAGATCTTCAGAATAATATAAATAAAATATTTATATATATATATATATATATAATTTTCTAAAGCGTTTAAATTAAACTATATATCATCTAAAATATATAAAGTTTGAATTTATTTTTAAATTATTATGAATTAATATGAATATTAAACATCTCATATTAAAAATTATATTATTTTCTTTTTTTAAATCAAATTCGGTTTAACCAGGGCTTGTGGCCTGGTTGTGATTAACCTGAGGGCAAAAACCCAATATGGTAAAGCTACATGGTTCGAGTCCCGGCCATTAGATTTCGCTAGCGCGAGGGACAGAGAACCACACGTGGCAACACATGACTAGTCTGAACCACTTATGTAGGGTCAGGATACCTCTGTATAATTCAAAAATAAAATAAAAATTATGTTATTAATGGTTTAAAAGTTTGTTATAAAAAATGATAAAACCATATAACTATGAAGCTTCATTTAATAGATATACAAATTAGAAATATACTATATATATATATAAGTTAATATCATTTATTTTCTAGATTTACTTATATAAAGTGATTGTAAATAAACAAGTGTGAATTTTTATTTATGTGAGCATGCTAATTTAATTATATAGATAATATTTACTAATTTTCAATTATTTAATATATATATGTTTATTATTTTATAATATATAAAAGAATATAAATAATAATAAATAAAATAATTTGTATATAACATTCTCATTTCGTGCATGATGCGAATCTTAAATTAGTTGTAATAATAGTGGAGAGTGTTTTTTATTTAGATGCCTAATTACATTTTATTTGATGGCTACTCTGGTCAATTTCCCTTTAATTAAATACTAGGATTAGACCCGCGCCTTGCGCGGAATGAGATGATTAAATTTGTTGTATTTTTTGAAGATAAGAAGACATTATATATGTTTTATTTGCATATTAGTTTGTTTTGGATTGGTTGTTTCGGGTTTTAATATCGTCCAATTATATATCTATATTATAAATATTGTCTTTTTGGTTAAATTGCGATTTTGTCTCGTATATCTGTTTTTTTGTCATCCACACGACATGGAAACATGTAAGATAAAAGTATATTGCTGTCAATACCATTAAGAGTATTGAGACAATCCCAAATCTCCTTTTAGTCTCGAGATGGGTTGTGAAAAGGCTCATTTCGAGAAGCAAATTCTCGACTTGTATAACGAAATCTCCAATCTCAAGAGCCCTTAAACCTTTCACATATATATGTCGACAATTTTTTCAATAGCTCATGTCCACGTCCTTGCCTATGGATACAAAAATCGACGTTAAAAACTTGTGCCCAAAAGTCCAAAACTACAGAACCAATCTCACCAACCTACGTAGTGAATATATAGAGTTTTCAGAGCACCACTACTATACGGCCTTGGGATCTCTCGAAGACAACACATTTCACCATTTAGATCTATCCTCAGTACACTAACTACCTCAAACTTAGCAAGGTTGAGTTCAATCTCTTCACGCTACACACGAGCCATGTCCAAACCAAGATCGCGTTCATGGGCTCCGGTACGTTGCCCTTCACATCCATCATCTTAGCTACGTCCCACCGCTCTAATAACGACGTTCCAGAACTTTGACATCGACCCTCAAGCCAATTCACTTGCCTCCGAACTTGTCTCATGCGATATTGAACTTTGTAGTTTTAAAGTATCTCGTGTGTTTTATAATTGAAGTAAATAAGGTAAACAATTGTTGAAGTAAATAAGGTAATATATTGTGAGAAGGTAGTAAATAAGGTAATAAATTGTGAGAAAGTAGTAAATAAGGTAATAAATTGTGAGAAAGTAGTAAATAAGGTAATAAATTGTGAGAATGTGGTGTGAAAACATTTAATGCAAAATGCTTCTCTTTTAATATATAAGGGATGGAGATCCTTGTCCAAAAAAAAGAACTGTGGGATCTTGGTCTTGACTTGATTATGCGTTTCACATACATTCTTGTGAGCTTATTCGTATATTGTCTCAGATTTTGTCAAACGCATTTTTTTTTTTGGCAACTGTCAAACGCATTTAAAAAGCTTCTCTTAGATCACTAGGACTCAGTAAATCACTATCTTCTCAACTGAAACCGAAGAAGCTGGAGACTTAATAAAGTTTGTTGATCTTATGAAGAATTATGTCAGTAAGTAAATAGGTTTTATACCTTCCATGTAGCAGTATGAAGCACCTATTTAACTCTGTGTGCTGTTAAAAAAAAAAACTGTGTGTTGTTTATCTAAGAAACTGTAACAGATCCGGTCTAAAATAGAGGAGGTTCGGTTTGAAAGAGTCATGTGTAGCTTTCTGCGTCAATTTCTGTTAATAAAAAAGTCCTAGTATAGTGGTAGTCTACTTCTATTTATGTGTAGCTTTTGTAGGATTTCTGTTTTCGTAAGGCTTATATAAACCATTCTCACAGATTCAATTCTCCAGGTAACGAAAGAGCTTACTTGCAACACTGCAAGGATTTTGAAGGAAAACATGGATATTTAGCATTTCCAGAGATATTTTCAAGGTTAGTTCTTCCAAATTAGAGTATAACCAAAAACCCAAAATCAAAATCCACACATGAATTCTTACAAATGTTAGCTATCTTTTTTTTAAAAAAAAAATGAAGCTTATGAATCTGAATAACCCCTTGTTAGCCTTTAGGAAGATTATTTAATGATTTGAAGTTAGTTCTCCATGCTTCATAAAAATCATGCGTAGTTCTAAAACATGTGCTATGCCTTGGATTCTGTTTCTAATACATCCAACTTCAGTGAAATATTAAAAATATAAGTGAATAACACTAACACAATTGCTAAATATGTAGTAAAATCTCCGAAGCAAGATCTACAACTATCAAATAAACAAGACTAATACTAATAGATGGGATAATATAGAAGACCATAGAGTGTGCTTATGTTGACAATGAAAAGCTATGATTGAATAACCCCTATAGATAAATAGTTTTTAAGAGATAATAATAAGTGCAATAACGTTTAAAATGCTTAGATAACAATTAATGTTTGGTTACTTCATATTCATCCAAATGACATCAGTTACTAACAAATGATATAAGTAGAATCAAGACATAACTGTGTAATGATAACGTTTGCTTTGTCAATAACATGGACCTTGTTCTTGCATATGAAGAGTAAAAAACATAACTCTGTATGTGATTACACAAACAAAGGATACATGACAACATTTCAAACAAGAAAAAACATATCCAAGTCCAGATGATTATCCAACATGAATCAACAAAACTTGTCTTTAACTTAAAGAAAGTTTCTGGATTCAATAAACAGCAAAAACAGAAAAACTCACAAGTAATTTCCCAGCCATGGAAGCTCCTTGTTGTCTTTCAATGCAAAAGCAACATCATCACTTGGGAAATTCAGCTGCAGCTTCTGCAACCTGTGCCTCTCTCCAGGCTCACAAAGAATGATTCTGCATTCACCAAGTTCACAGCCCACTTTGAGAAGAACATCCCAACCAGGAAAAGCTTCTCCATTGGTTCCACAAAGAGACGACACTGTCGTCGCCACTCTATCAAAGGTTGTCTCAGCCATTCCTGTCTTGTAAAGCTCATGAACCATAGCGGTCAAGTAGATCTTACTCAGTTTAGAAACGCTCTTCATAACTTGAATGTGAGGTGCTTGAAACATCTCTTGGATCGCTGCTTCAACATCTGCCATAACCACCAGCTGGTTCTTTGCGGTTGTGTTGTTCTTTAGACGGTAATCCGCCACTTCTGCTGCACGCCTGCATATCTCAAGGGCACGTCTTGCATCTCCTGAGATCGCAGCTACTTTTCGCGAAGCAAACTCAATAGCTTGCTTCTCAAAAGCATCGATTCCTTTCAGCCTTGTGGAAATGATTTCTTGTAGCTGAGTGTGGTTATAAGGACCGAAACATAGTCTCTGTATACCCATTCGGCTTGAGATACGAGGAAGCAGCTTCTCTGGAAGATCCATAGTGTTTGCTATTCCCAAAACAATCAACTTGGAGTTAGGCTTGGTGGGCCAATCCAAAATGTTGTATAAAACAGACTGGTTCCTAGTAACCAGAAGATCAAGCTCGTCGATGAGAAGGATACAAGGCTTCTCTTCGTCTTTCCCAATTCGTTTCCCTTCTGAAAACCTCTCATTCAAAGAGTGTAAGGCTTTCTTCCAACCAACACGATGACCACTCAATGCCTCATAGATCACAGTGTAAATCTTCTCAGGTGAAGCCAACTTGAGACCGTTGATCTCCACAAAGCAATAGGGGCTTACGTGTCCCTCTTCAACCTCAGCCTTCAGATTCTTCATAACAGATAGTACACTAACAGTCTTCCCTGTGCCAGGAACACCATGAATGTACATACACCTTCCTAAACACTGATCATCCAAGATGGAACCTTTTATAAACGCAGTGATCTCTTCCATCTCCTTGTTCCTGCAAGGAAGAGACTTAGGCCTTGTCGCCAACAACAAAGTAGCTTTCGCTTTCTCTAACTCACTCTGCTTATGACACCTCACATGCTCCGGAATCCTCTTCGCCCCCACCTTGTCTAGCCCAAAGAACCTCCCTTTAAGCGAATTCGCAGCTTTTGAACTCGTTAAACCTCTCTTACTCTTAGAATCACGCACACTTTCTTCATCTTCAACCTCCATCTCTTCCTCACTATCACCAACCTCCTCCTCCTCCTTCCATTCATGGTCATCACTCTCACAATCTCCATCAACCAATTCAGCCAAACGCTTAAAGCTATGCCAATGCACATCATACTCATACTCACACAAAAACACATCATCACCATCATTACTCGCCTTCGCAAACTCCTTAGGAGACTTAACAAAACAATGCCTAAGCACAGATCTCATCTCCACATCAGCAAAATCATTAGTCAAATAAACCTCTCTTTTCAAATTATGACCTTGACGCCCTGAAGCAGTCTCTTCAGGTATCATATACCAACGAACACGAACCCAATACACACCATCCACTCCTCCTCCTCTCCATAGCTTCTCGATCCGAGCAGCCCATAGATCGCTGGAGAGAAGCTTCTCCCTCGCTGTCCTAACCACCTTCTTCCCTTCGGGTTGCTTCGGAACCTCAAGCTTCTGGCAAAAGTTACAGATCCAATCGCCTTCGGGGACTTCTTTCAACGGCGGCTTCAAGCATTTCAAATGAAATCCGCCTAAACAATCGTCGCATTCGATCATCACGTTGTTGATACTACCTGATTTGAAACAGATCCGGCAATCTTCGATCTCAACGTCGTCGTCGTCTTCTTCTTCTTCTTCCTTCCTCTTAACGTAAACATCGTCTCCGATTTGGAACTCGACGGAATCGAATTCGACTTTGTTGTAGTAGACTCTCTTGCTAGAGAGTGTTTCGGTGTTTTTTCTCTTCCTCGGCGTTGTCTTCTTCTCCGATTGAATCGGGGAGACCGGAGAGAAGGAAACCTCCTCCGCCGCATCTGATTTGGATTTGGATTTACTCTTTTTCGGAGTTTTGAGTTCATCGGTGGGTTGTTTTCTGGGCGCTCTCTCTCGTTTACGGATGAGATTCATCTCTTCAATCGGAGCGTTGAGATGATGATTATCTTGGTCGTCGCCGAGATCGATCTTGCGGGAGACATGGCGGGCGGATCTGCGGAGAGGAGTGAGAGTCTGTGGAGTTTGGGGAGTGAGATACGATTTGCGGTAGATGTTGTTGTTAGTTGGGGTTTTGTTTGGGGATTGGAAGGTTTTGGTTTTTGGAGTTGAAGCAGCCATTGATGTTCAGAGAAGAGTTAGGGTTTCTGGGTGAAGGAGGCGGAGGGGATAGAGAGAGAGAGAGAGGATGGAGGTAGAGAGAGAAAGGGAGATGGTTTTCTGGTGGGAGAGGGTTTTAGTGAGAAGGATTTGGCGGGAAATGTTCCCTCGAAGAAGAAATGTTTTGTTTTTTATTTATTGCTTTATGAAAAGATTTTAATTTGGGAAAGAAAATGGTGAAAGATTCTTTCGTGGCAAAATGATTTAGTACTAGGAGATTTAGTTGTCTTTAATAGATTGTAAGATTCATTGAATTTTGAATTTTGATTTCAGGATTTTAGTTGACTAATGACTAACGACTAGTGTCTAAAAATAGTTTAAATGTTTATTAATCTGTTCAATACACATTAATTAAGAGCTAAAATTTAGAGATGAAAGACATTTCATTTACCACACATTGATCCCTTTAAACTTGACTTCTTTCTCCATAAAATAAGTTATCTAGAAATTTGGAAATATAATTTTGTTTTTTATATTTGGAAACTCATAGTTATCATTTTTCACTAAACAAAGAGATACAACAAATGACTTTGTTTTAGATTTCAATTTTTTCAACAATCTTAAAGTTTAAAAGATATCTATTTGCATTTCTTATGTATAAATTTGGAGATCAATGATCACAAATGTTGGTAAACTGTATAATCAAAAAGGTTAGAAGATCATTTAGATGAGTATATGTGGTAAAATTATTTTGGACTTTTGAAATAGCCATTCAAAAATTTGTTACGAATTGAATGAGATAATTTGTCCATTCTTAATTTTAATGTGGGTTTTAGTCGGACTTTCAACTTTGCAAAACAGTCCACCATGTGAAATATTATCTACTATGGTTCAATTGAGATAGATTTGATTTTGATTTAAAATACTTCTATCGTCTGATTTTATTTAAAATGCATTAATGGACGCATTGTCAGATACAAAGGGATTAACTAATAGAGCATTACCATAAGTACTTATTTTTTTCAATTATCTAATCAATACCATCAAAAAAATCATTCATTTTACTGAGTCTTTTACATTTTCCAAAAATACTCTTAACAATATAAAAAATATTTTATTTTCATTAATGATAATATATTTTTCTAGTTTTTGGACATAAAAATAATATATAATGAGTTTCACTAATGAGTTAAATTCATCGTCTAATTATTTTTGAAGTTTCTTTTAAAAATAACCACAAGAACTTTAATTGGCATAATTAGAGTTGGGAATTTTAATATTAGCCTGCAGATTAACTAACCCGCCACGGAACATGTCGATCGATTTGAAAAATTAAAGTTGCGGATACGGGTCAAGTGTATTTTATGCGGGATGGGTGTAGGTTGTTCTAATTTCAATTGCGGGCACCCGGTAATCCGCGAAAATATAATTTTTTTTAAAGTTTATTTTCAAAAATATACTAAATTTCATTAAAATAATTATATTTTTTAAATATTAAAAATTTAATTAAAAATATACAATTTAATATTATTTTTTAGAAAAAATTAAAAATAATTATTTTTATTATTTAACAATTATCCTCGGATCTCGCAGATTACCCACAAAATTAAAGTGGGACAGATGCGGATAAAATATATTTTCTTTGCAGGTCAGCGGCGGGTCAGGCGAGGCGAATTTGACTCCGCTTCCCAGCACCAAGCATAGTTAATTGATACTTTCTATGTTTCAATATAATCCATGTTTTATAGAAAATAATTTGTTTTAAAAAGATACATATTTCACATATTTAATGCATCATTTAATGTTAAATTAAAAACTTCAAAACATTTATTAAAATCATAATGGTTAAAAATTATGGAGAACAATATATTACAAAAAAATAATACATTGGTAATTTAAAATTCATAATTTTCTTCATATGTGTGAAACATACTAAAACATGCATCTTGTTGAAATGGAGAGAGTATTATTTTTCGAAAATAAAACTACTCAATTACATACTATACATTTACATAGATATTGATGATAACAATAAATTAAAATCTGCATAATTTTTTTAAAGTTATATTAGATAGTGACATTTTATATCATCAAAATAAAAGACTTTGTAGATAAAACAACAAAGATGGTACCCACGTTTTAAGTGCGTGTCAAAAATCTAGTTAACTTTTACTAGAAAATCATTTAGAAAAGTATTTACTAAATGCTAATTCTAAATACTAATGCTCTCCAGATGTTTTAGGCTCATCAATGCTCTCATATAAAGCTTTTGAGAGGGCATTTGCAGTTAGAATATACAAAAAATTAGAAAATAATTATATAAATGATTTAGTTAATAATATAAAAATATTTTTATTAAAAAAATATATTTTTAAAAGTAAAAATTTCAGTTAAGTATTTTCAACTTTTTAAAAGAACAATACTTCACATTTAAAATATAATATAATTTATATAATTACACATATCCTTCATTATTTTTTATAATAAACATAAAAATAATATAAAGTTATTTATATATGAAACATATATATATTATTTATAAAATAATAAATAAATTATATATCATATACTAATTTATATAGTTTATAAAAGAATCATTTTAGATAAATGATATATCATATATTAATTTATAATAGTTTTATATATGAATCATTTTAGATAATAATAAATTATATATCATATATTAATTTATAATAGTTTTATATATGAATCATTTTAGATAATAATAAATTATATATCATATATTAGTTTATAATAGTTTTATATATGAATCATCTTAGATAATAATAAATTATATTTCACATATAAAATATAGTTTAATTTAGAAAATGATTATTTTTTTATTTGTAATAATAACTAGATTGTTAATATATTTATATATAGATATTATTTTAAAATAAATATATTATATACTAACTTTTATGATAATTTTAAAACTGTATACTATTATTGTTCTACCAATCACTTTATAAAATTTTAATGAAAGTATACATTTTCTGCAGCATACTGCTCTACAACATAATGGTAATGTTTTATCATCTGTTTGTACCAACCAAGGCCTAAGCCAGAATTGGCCAAAAGATTGAGAATCTCTATAAACTAAAAGACTAACTAAAAAGGCATACAAACATGTAAAAGAAGACAAGGATGCTAAAACATCAAACTCGGAGACAATGCATATGTATTCCAATAACCCTCTAGAAAATGTAAAAGAAATCTCATTTAATTAGATATTAAGTAGGTTAAAATGGAAAAACTGGTACTCTAAAACAATAGAAATCTCATTTCGATTTGATTCTTATTTAATAATTGTTCAAGTTCAGATTTATGTTTTACATACATAGGAGTAAACTAAAATTGAGTCACTTTTTATAATATCCTTTTCTCTTAGTTTGGATTGGATCAGCTCGGTCCAGTGCGAACAATTATATGTATAACAACTAAATTGAATGGATTTACTCTCAACTGATGTCCTAACCGTTAGAGAGAACAATATGAAGTACTTTTTTTGGGCAACAGCATATGAAGTACTATGATTTATTTTAATATATGAAAACACAAAAGCTAGCAATTGAAGAAGCCTAAACTTTATTATGGTGAAAGATTCTCGCGTGGCAAAATGATTTAATCGTAGACGATTTAGTTGTCTTTAATAAATTTTAAGATTCATTGAATTTTAATTTCAGGATTATAATTAACTATTGACTAGTGACAAAAATAGTTTCTTTAAGCTCTTTGTTACCCCCATTAATTAATAGCTAAAAGCCTAAAACTGAGGTAAAAGATATTTCATTTACCACCCATTGATCCCATTAATCTTGACTTTAATGTCTCCATAAAATAAGTCCAGTGTTTAAAAGGATGGACATGGATTAGATATCCAGAAGTTACATGGCATGTAGATCTTTTTTCATGAACTTTGATGGCATGTAGGTCTTGATCTGTAGTTTCTTATTTAAATCTGGATCCATAAAAATTTTAAATCACAATTATCATTTTCCTAAATCAAAGAGATGAAAGAAATAACATTGTTTTAGGTTTTCAATGTGTCAACAATTTGTCAACATTTAAAGTTTAAAAGATGTCGATTTGTATGTTCAAGGTAAATGGATATGGATGTAAAAAAAAGAGGTATATGGATATGGATGTGAAAAAGTAGTGTTGTTATTTAAATGTGATCTATGATAAATAAAAACTAGGATCAGATTCGCGTCTTGCGCGGATGAAGTTATTATTTTTATTATGTTTTGGAAAATGAAACAAAAGTTTGGTTTCATCTAGATTAAGGATGTTCAATCTGGATACCGGATTTCAGTATTTTGGTTATTAAAATATAAATACTATTCTAAATCCATATTTACTTCACTTTGATTTGGTTTATATATTGGTTTTCATTTTATTCAATTTTATACCAAAATACATCATTATTTAGTTTGAAATCATATTATATATTATAAAAATAAATAATATGATCATATTTAGAGTCATATTGTCAAAAAGTCATTTACTAAAAAAAATATTATATATTTAACTAAAAGAATAAAAAACAAATGATTAAAGGCTTTTATGATCTAATAAAATGATCAAATCTAGAATTAATATCAAATCTCTAAATTTTGAAAATAAAAATAAAAACAAAACAGAAGCATGAAATAAAAGTTTTTATATTCTTCCATATTTAGTGTTCATCAAATTAATATGTCTTTGATTGAACACAACTCTGTTTGTTTAAAGATTAAAAAAATTGTAAAGAATTTCAACTAATTGTTGTCCATCAAATTTATAATTTTTACTTCAATTTAGTTTTTATTAAAAAAAAGAAAAAAAAGATCAAAAAAGACGAATAAAATAAGAAACCTCAGTTGCATTAAATTGTTAGTTAATTATATTTCAAGTGATTCAAGTGATTTACAAATCATAATTATAGTTTAACTCATGTAACAAATAGATATACATATTTACATGTTTCAGTTTAATCGATTATAAAGCAAACCATATCCAAATCTTACGGTTTTTATAAAATCACATACATTCGGTTTGTATGGTATATACCAAAAATAACCATATTATCGATTGTGTTAATATCTTTAGAAAATAGAAAATTAAAAAAAAAACTAATATATTTAAATCATTGATAACAAAAATTTTCAATGTGAAAAATTTAATACGTTTATAATTTATAAATGTTCTTGAAAATTCATTGAAATTTTTGAAATTAAAATAAGTATGTAATCTTATATGTTATATAGTTTAATCTATATATATATATATTATTGAATGATACTTTTTACTCATATGGTTTTAAAATCATGTGTATCTTTTTATAATAAAAATGTTAAACTATTGATGATTAATTTTTAACATAATAATTTTAATAGTTTTAGTCATTTATTCTTGGTTTTTCTAAATTCAAAATATAAAATATACGAATAAAAATCTAAAGTTTAATTTTATAGCTAATTTGATTGTTTGATTTATTTTAATAATATAAAATTAAAGAGAAATGATGGAGGAGATACACATTGTTATCAAATATTTATTATTAGAAACATTAATTGTCATATATATATATATATATATATATATATATATATATATATATTTGTCATTTATGGTAATTCCGTAGCTTTTATTTAAGGAAATAAAATAAAATACTAATTATATCTAGCAGGACAATCATAAATGTTTCTATCATAAATATCATATCATATAGTTTGACCAACAAATATATCTAGCGACATATAAAAATCGAATGTGGACCTACTTATTTTTCAATTGAATGTAATTGACCACCTAATTGAGTGACACGTAAGCATGTGCTCTTTTTTAATTATTATAAAATGGAGGTTACAATTTTTCAAATGTTTCTCAATTAATATATAGGGGAAGCAAAAAAAATTCATATCATTTCTCCATTTAGGCGTGTAATCAATTCGTAGGATCATGCTAATTTTTTCTGTTTGCTACTCCATGACAAAATTTTAAAATTATGATTTGATTTTTTCAGAAAATAAAGAGATGAAAGAAATTGTTTTATTTTTTCATTTTTTAAAAAAGTTTAATTTGTCAAAAATTAAAGAGTATTTGCACTCCCTACACATGACATTTACCCTATTTGCATTTTATACCCTATTTCCCCCCCCCCCCCC